GTTTATCGCCTATTTGCGCACAGTGCATGAGAAAGAAGCCGAGTTCAGTTTAAAATGGCTAAACTTAACAAGATTGAAGTTTTTCATTATTGTGACTGTATTGTCAGCAGTGTATTACTGGTTACCTTATTACATCATGCCCGTTCTCAGTTTTTTTTCATGGACGTGTATGATAAATCCACAGAATAATCTCCTGTCGCAATTAACTGGTAGTCATGGATTTGCATGGGGTACATTACAACTGGATTGGCATTTTATACAATCAACTTTAGGCTCGCCCATTGTCTCACCTCAATGGGCTCAGTATAATATTTTAACGGGTTACATTCTCCTTCTTGGGATAATAATGCCAGTTATGTATTATAAAAATCTATGGAATTTCAAATCATTTCCGATTAATGATAGTAACTTTTTAGCTGATAATGGAACATATTACAACTGGGACAATCCGCCAATTCGCTTTACTGTTACATATATTGTTAGTTACATGTTTTATTTCGCATCGTTGATTGCTTTAATTGTGCACACAATTTTTTATCATGGTATTGATATATTTAAACAAGCTAAAACGTCGTTACAAAATCGTCAAAACGATATTCATTGTACTCTCATGTCAAAGTATCCGGAAGCCTCAGGATGGATCTATGGGGTATTGTTTCTGTGTGCGTTTGTTTGTGCTTGTTTTGTCTGCAATTTCGGTAAATTAATGCCATGGTATCTGTTATTCTTGGCGATACCACTAGCATTTGTTTGTTTACTACCAACGGGTATTGTTTGGGCACAAACAAACATTACAATTTATGTTAGTTACGTATGTATGGTAATTGGTGGTCTTCTGTTACAAAATAACGGAACAGGTAATAAGACATTTGTGACTTATGCGTTCGGAACACAATTTCAAGCAATTTCCCTTTTGAGAAGCTTAAAATTCGGTCATTTCATGAAAATATCACCGCGAGCATTGTTTACGACACAATTGATAATTACGTTGTTATCGTCTGTAGTTAGATATGGAGTCGCGTATCATATGTTATCAACTGTTGAAGGTATATGCGATACCGCAGCAAATTGGCAATGTAGTCAGAAAGATATATATCCATATCGTTTTGCACTAATAGGTTAGTTCATCAGAATCTTGAAAAAGAGAGCTTTTTTCAGTATAAAGGGCTACTGACGACTTCATGTTTAGTCTCTTTGGCCAACACATTTTGCTGCATCTGCTCATCAGGGATATGAATAAGTTTGTTCCCAAAGCTGTTTACAAATAATCATTACTGCGACTGTCGTCCCATGCAAATTGCTGTCGCCGCTTTTGCCACTTAAGCATAAAAGTTTGCTATTTATTTTTGTATTGAGCGCTGCTTTGGTGGTCCGACGGCTCGATAGTAAGCCCGATCCAAGAACATGCCGACCCTACCGAATCAGAACTTTAGGTTTGAACTCTTCAATTCAAGACCCCATGCTCCTTAAATGTGGCAGTTGTAGTACGACTCAATTTTCCGTGTCGACTGCGTAGATCATAACGGCTTCGAATAAAAACTTATGAATGCCAAAAGTGTGGTTTTTATAATAAACTACTTTGAGAGAAAGAGCTGTAGAACTTGGTCGATCGATCACGAAATTTACTATGCCACGCAGCTTTTCTTCTCCAGCATTATAATGTGCTACTAGCTCTACTGCTTCCCTAGTTAAAATCTTAGACACTTCTTAAAATTATCTTATTCAATTTCCATAGCTGAATACCCCAAAATATGAAATTTCGCTTCATTCTTCAACACTGTTCAACTGTTGCTTTGAATAATGCGGATTAAAAACTGCAAACTTTTCACCGTATCTCTATTGAATATTATTTAAAACCGTAGTCGTTCTTACTATCGAGATCCTAACAGATTCTTATCCAGTCTTGAAAAAGTCTTAGACAGTATAATCTTGGTAAGATCTTAGTAAGATTTCACTTATATTTGTCTAAGTAGAAAGATCTTATTGAATCTTAGAGTTTACTGGTCTCACGATTTTAGTACAATTTGTTTAAGATCTTAGACCACTATAAGCGAAATCTTACTAACGAGGGAACGTTCTCGGGTGATCCCTTCTGATTTCCTTCGTTCATATGCCGATCGATAGGTCATATGGAGGTATGAAAAAGCCTAAGAGGATTCGTGCGGAGTTTGCTTCCTTCAAAAGTTATTCCCGTTTTTCGATTTTTCCCAACGGAAAATCCAATACATTGAAAAAGTCATAACTCCGTCAATCTTTGACGTTTCCGCTTGAAACTTTTATACACAATACCTGACTTAATCTAGTATTTACACTAACCTTAAAGTGCGTTTCGTTTCGGAGAACCGCCTACCCGGTGATCAGTGATAGAGACTAGACACGAAGAGAAAAAAGGTCTATTTCCCTGGTTTTCTCTATCTCATTCGATTCGATACGAACTTGACTAAAATACAAAAGCAAATTACAAGATGATCAATCCTCACAATGTCACCCTGCTCGAATTTCATTCGAAATCAGCTACCTAGTAGCAAGCAGACGTATTCGCACACACAACGAGACGATGATGTGGCAAAACACCTGTTTTACAGCCTTGAATCGATTCTTAACTGCACACACTACAGTTTTGAGTCGGAGAATACCCTAGACCTCGACACTAACTTCGATGAAGAAACTGAAGCGCACGAATGTGAACCAGAGGAAGATGAGAATTTCGTTGAAGGTGAAGACGTGGAAGATCATTCTCTGTTACACGATGAGTTCTCTCTTCAGTATATGAAGAGAGCGGTGGATCACTACGACGAGATGAATCCCACAACGAGCAAGAGACGTCATTCATGGCAATCTTTTCACAATAAGTTTAGACGTGTGAAAAATAAGAGCTACATCACTCGTTTCCGAAAATATCTCGAGTTAGGCGGCACGAAGAAACAGAAGTTGGATGAAATTGACGAGGCAACGTACGAATTCTTTCGAAATGCCCGTGAAAATCTCCTGTTCGCCCATGATATCGATCTCAAACGACAGGCCTTGAAGAAAAGGGTTCAAGAAGGGGAAAAATGTTTTGAAGAAAAGGGTTTTCTGGCCTGGAAAACCGCTTTTCCAGAAACCCGATCTTAGGCCGGGTTTCTGGACTGTCATATTCGGATTCAGTATATTTGATTGCCTATTGTCCACGATCTGACGGCATAAAAGCAGTTAGACAGTTGGTTTCCTTATCTCGTTAGTAATGACAGCCATTCTTTGAAAATTGAACATCTCTCTATCTCGGAAACGAAATGCACTTTAAGGTTGAAACTTTTAGCATAAATACTAGATTAAGTCAGGTATTGTGTGTAAAAGTTTCAAGCGAAAACGTCAAAGATTGACGGAGTTATGACTTTTTCAATGTATTGAATTTTCCGCTGGGGAAAATCGAAAAACGGGAATAACTTTTGAAGGAAGCAAACTCCGCACGAATCCTCTTAGGCTTTTTCATACCTCCATATGACCTATCGATCGGCATATGAACGAAGGAAATCAGAAGGGATCACCCGAGAATGTTCCCTCGTAAGATTTTTCTAAGATCTTAGTAAGATTCGAGTAAGTTTTTCACTACGGAAGAGTGTTAAATCGTAAAAACTTATTTCTTCCCTGCCCGAAGATTTAATGCTGAGAGTAACTATTATCCATTTCAAAAAAGAAAGACCATGGCCATTTGTTTAAGAACTTTTTCTAGGATGTAGCTACGAAGCTGCGGTTTTCACAAGTCGAAAGAAAAATGTTGGGGCAAAAACGGCCCGGACACCTGCAGGTGATTTTGGGATAATAATTTTTGGTTTTTCTTATTGCCCCAACATTTTTCTTTCGACTTGTGAAAACCGCAGCTCCGTAGCTACATCCTAGAAAAAGTTATTAAATAAATGGCCATGGTCTTTCTTTTTTGAAATGGATAATAGTGACTAATTTAACTGCTATATATAGCACTGCTAATCTAACATATTTAACACTTCTCAACAGTAAAAAATGCACTTGTTGTTATCCGGTAACATGCAGCCACAAAGGGACAAAAATTTTAAAATTCATTTTCTGTCTGTAGCTGCTGCCAGATGTGGCAAAGTAATGTTACGATACATGTATTCGATACGTGATCACAAGTCATATATTGTATGCGTGATTATTTCGTTCACAAGGATATTCCTATTTCCTTTAATAGTGTCTGCGTATTTCATCTCACTCACTCGTATACAGATATCGGATATCTGTATACGAGTAATAATACAAGAAAGTTGTTCTTTATCAAATTATTTGATAAAGAACAACTTTCTTGTATTATTAAGGCCTGTAATAATGACTTCTAGAGAAGTATTTGATAAACATCCGATTTTTCCAAACGGAGATAGTGTAGAAGAAGATGGCTATTTTACAAAATTTTTACAAAATTACAATTTACGAGTTTTATAAAATTTTTGTCCCATTGTGATCGGATATTGCCATGCTATTTGGCAACATCAGGAAAGACAAATCAATTTTGTATGAATAGAGATTCGAACACAAAATCTAGCTTTGCAGTAAACTGCAAAACTGAAGCCGCTGTTCTATATCTATATTCTGTGCAACGACTGAAGTTGTGTAATCAACTCGATGTTATTCTTAGTAATTTGTATTGGTATGTTACTGTATGTAAAACAATTTTTGTGTTCTGATGTTACTTTGAATAGAAAACCACCTTAGCATAGAAAATCGCAAAACACGAACCACATTTCGGATAGAAAAGGCTAAATGACTTTCTGGACTCTCTCGAGAGCAGGAATTGAAAATGGTGTAAAATATCGGGCAGTTACTTCTAGTAATTGTGATATAAAAATTTGCGTCAGATCCCATTGCTGTTGGTTTTCGGTCAAAAACACATTTTTTCCACATTTTCTACTCCAAGAGTAGATCATGGAGAGTGAACAATGTATCATAATTCGTGCAATGGACTTTTCTCTTATTACGCTAGTCAAAGGGAATTGTATTGCATTTACCTGCATGAAGGAAGGGTAAAACAATGATTTTTGACTCATGTGGTATCCGAAAGCTGTGGCCGATCTGACGTCCAAATTTCCATAATATTCTCATCTTGTAGTGGTCAGCCACCGGCATAAATTCAGCCAAATTCGTAATGTCTTACCATCGTCCGTATCTGACTATCTCAGAAATTTACTCCTATCAACTCAATGCTCAGATTACGATAGTAGACAGCACATCTCTGGTGATAGGCCAAGTGAATCACTTCTACCGAAATTATGAGAGATCTAGCAGAGTCGAAATATTGACTAACTGCCATACTTTGTACGAGAATCTAATAGACATATCTAATTTGGGTAGACTTTTGCTAATTCAAATCTCTTTTTTATCTAATCGCCTCGAAATTAATTTTTGAAATCTGGGGCAGCGAGCGGTGCAAACGAAGAATTCGAGGAGTTCCAGTCACAAGTGTCCCTAGAATCTAGCAGAAATGACAATGAACTGTAGGACAAAGCAGCATAACCAGAGCGCAAGATTATCTACTTTCTCAGTAATAATTTTTGTTAGTTTTGGAGAAAATTTTCTGGCTCACTGTGAGCGAGAAAATGTAGCGTGGGCATATACAAAAAAGCGTATCCAACTGCCAGTAGAGCAGCAATAGCACGTTTTAATACGAACTGTTCACTTGACTGGGCTTTAAATGAACCCAGTTTTGGAATATCTAGCAGACAAAATGCACAGCTCACCGCACTATTGATCGTTGTTCTGCCGTAGTCAAAGTAAAACTAATGTTTTACAGATCAAGAGTGAATGGAAGTTGTTGTAATATTAAGAAGATAGCTGTAGCTAAGGATCTTCTAAATTACAGGAAGTGCGCTCTTGAAATCAGCATTAGTCAGAGCTCTTGGTTCGTTGATAATGGTACAGTAAATAAATTTTTCTACACGCTTCTACAGTTTGTGTCATCTGTTTTTCGAGATATACCAAGTGCGTTTGGTACAAAATCGGATTATGCTGCAATGTTATGGCTCATTTTGATTGTTGGTGTACTTCCTATACCATTTTGGATATTACATCGAAGATTTCCGGATGTTAAACTGTTCAAACATGTACATATCCCATTGATGTTCGTAACATTTA